AAAACAACTCTCCACCACGAGGAGCGGCAGCGCAAATGGCAACTGTAGCAGCTCAGGACAAGCGCCAGCGACTGATACAGGAGCAAGCCAGGCAGCGACGAACGTGGCAGGACGTGGGTGCGCGTCTACTTGCGCGCCCTCTTGCGGCCGAAACGGACCTACGATCAAAGAAGAGAGACCGGGAAGAGAAGACCGTCGACTGTCTCAGAGTCTCAGAGTCCCACTGCGCCCCGTCGAGCACGGAGCTCGTGCTGTTGTTTGGTTTCCCACAATAAGCGCATGTGCTCGCCGCTGGACTTCGGCTCGTCAGCCTTTTTCGCTATTGGCAGATGAGTTGAGACGGCAACGGCGGAGACCGCAGCCCAAGTAGGATCGTCTAGCAAATTGACGATGCCGCTATTAGTACCGCAGACGTCACGAAAACAACCACCGCCGATGTTGGTGATGGAAATCTAGAAGTCTCTAGGGGAACAAAAACGCTAGAGAAAAAAAGTCGGTGCGTTGCTTGTCTGCTGAAAGAATTGTTCAAAAGTGAGCCTAGGTGTTTCATCAGCGTCGACTTTGGAAGTAATAACAACAGTAACAACAACTACTAGTAGTAATCCAACGGCGAGGTTTAGCTGAATAGTTCCTGAATCAAGCAGCAACAATCATCTCTAATAGTGATTTATTGCCTGATCTGCTCTATAAATTGGGTAAGCAGAGGCTGAGAGGGTCTGCTGGGAGTCGCTGAGTCCCGTCAGCAGATGCGTTACACAAATCAGTTACCGATTTATCTTTGAAGACGCCAACGAAGTGTCAAAACCCAGATTTTCAGAGAATTGGCATAAATTTGACACAGGTTTCAGGTTTTCTATGGCGACCCTTAATGTTACCATAATTAAAATCATAGCAACTTCTGCAAGTGCATACACCGTTTTCCAGCTTTAGCTCCTATTAACTTCAGCCCAGACATCTTATAGATAAACTGTAAATACCATTATAGATGTATGTATCGTGTATCGCTTGCCGCGCCGCCACTGAGCACGCGTCGTCGACGCTAACGCGCTTAAGTTGCCGATGATCCCGAATGAAGGCGTGCAGCTCGGCAGTGGATTTATCGCAGTGTGCACACAACAGTTTTTTAGGTTGCTCACATTGTCACTCATGGTCGTTGTGTGCGCACGTACGTGTGTGGGAAGGACAGCGCGGGTCTCCGAAGTTGGTATGGTGACTAGGTTAAAGATGGTGACCATATAGGCGGGTTATCGACACCCGCCGTCGATCATAGATATCATTGGCCACAAAGAGTGCGACAGTCTGCCCGCGCAGACCTCGTGACGACTGCATGGATAGAAACCAGCCCAGTCATGCGGCTTTTACCGATTAGAAGCAGTAACGTGCCGAAAGTGTTAACGTGTGTTGTTTTGGTCTCAGTGCCTGTTGATCATTATTGTTATTATTGTCGAGAAGGTGACTGGTGAAAACGACGACAACGACAACAGTAGCAACAACAAAAACAACAACAACAACAACAACAACCAGTAAAGCTGTCAAAGAGAATGGTTGTCGGCATACCGAATTTGAAGTCGTAGCCTTATTGTATCAAGTGGCTAATTTTCCTTCAGCGTTGACCTTCCGATTATTGATTAACAATCTATCGTATTCTTTATGGATTATCGTAATTATTCGTTGACTTTGTTGACCGAAGACTATCGCTGACAGCCTTCAATAACAAAAGCAACAACAGCAATTTTCCGATTAATCGTCAGATCAGCCGTACCTTCCGACAATTACTCCGAGAGCAGATGACAAAAAAAAAAGTCGTGTTACAATCCCAATCAAACTGAGTCAGCATTTTGTCCCAAGTAGCAAGCCTTACGTGATCTTCACTATCTGACGGCCTATTAGCCAGTGACCTCAGCTACAGGTATAGCAGCTAGAAATTACGGTACCGTTTCAGCATTATCGTCCAGTAACGATCTTCATCAAGCGGGATCGAGCTAAGCTACGAAATTATAAATATAAACTAAACTTATTTAATCCAATCCTTAAGGAATTGTACGGAAAACTTGCTTTTTACCGATCATCAGATTCTTGTGTGCAGGGGCGCTTTGCACGCTCGTCGTGGATACATCTATCTATACATAGTGTAGTTTGTATTGGTGTATGTTGCTACAGCAATTGTCATTATTATCATTATCATATTATTACTATTCCTTCTATTATTTGTTAATTTTTTTCTATTAAAAGCCTTTCGTAGCCTTCATTGATCGTCGATGCGCTGGTCCTTTTATTTTAAGGTCAAAGCAAAACAAACAAAGCTGGTCGTTAGCGTTTCGGTAATATTTCTATCGCTATACAAAGCTACCCTTATTGCTAACCTACCTGAAATCTGCAACTCGCTTGCCAAAGCAATATTGTGACGCATTAACGTTCGTCTATTACGGTTAATATTGTGTGGCGCTGAGGCTTCTTATGCTGGTAATACTGCCGTAATTACTAACTAACCTATCCAGTGCCGACCTGATTGTCGTCAGCCTATTGTTACCTCTACGCAGCAACGCCAGTGCGAAAAAAATCGTGAGAAAGGCACCAAAGCGAATTCTGCCCAGAAAGTGTTCTGAAGTGTATCGTGTAACGACAGCATCAGTGGTAATCAAGCATCGAATGAATCAATCACTCTAAAATATGGTGATGGTTGTATCTTGATTGCTCCGCGAGCAGTGAGGTACTTGCCCTGTCGTCAGTTCTCTGCATCGATAATTTTTCCATCTTATGTGCTTTCGTGTCTGCTTACACATCTAGGATATGGTATAGAAGATTCACCAGAGAGAATCATAGTGTGCCTCCGTAAAACCAACAAAGTTACATAAACATAGCAGTGTACACAAAGGTCAGGTCGACATATTGATATATACAGTACAGCTGTCTCGTCGGAAAGAATCGTCTGCTGAACTTGAAAGTTGGTGAGAAACAAGGTGTCACCCCAAAGAGCCAGAATTTTTTGCTGCTATCCTGTTGCGGCTTCGTGCTGCATACGACGAAGCAACCACCTTCGACCTATACGGTTATCTGTTACGGTCTTAGAGATAGTCTAACAGTCAGTGATTTGCAGATGCAGATTGTGCATCAGGCCGCTGTATTTTGTACAGTTTGGCTACCCTTCCGAAAACGAAGCCTTGAGCTCTCATCAGCCAAATTAACTTTTCGGTAAGCGAGGGCGCCTCCACAGATGACCATGACGACGCGTTTCCAGTTGCAATGGCAAACCACAGTCATTGGTTTACGCACAACGAGATGCCAATCCACTCGAAACGAACGCCATAGACGATTAGCTGTTGATGACGGTTACCCGTCATCGCTCTTAACCGCGGACATTGGCAAGGGAGCGGCCGGTCTCGAACGACACAGCTACTTCTGTCGCTAGGCCCTATCTCTACTGTATCCATTTGCAGTCCGTATCCCTGTAAGTGTGTCCTTTGTTCTGTCCGTTGTTATTGTTCTCTGCGTTATTACCACTGTTTGTGAGCAGTTTCGACACCTACAATACCTCTCTCGAGAGCAGTTTCGGAGCATTTTGACGCTAAATAGCTCAACATAGTTGGGTTTCGCTGCTGGACAGATCCGCGGCTAAAAGGGAGACAGATGCTAGATACGATGTGGCCAAGACAGAGATGTGGGACGCTGCCAGAAAACTCGGAAGAACATGATGAGACGGCGATCGTTGGTTTTAGGTTACGAATACCTTTTTGGTTGCAGAAGTGCTGCTAATCATCGCGCTAACCCTGGTAGCTCGGGTCGGCCGCGACGTCGAAGACGTCTCCGCAGTGGCAACACGAATAGCAGCAACAGCAGAAGTACGTTTTCCTGCAACGACCGAAACAACGGCCCCTCCTACAGGAGTTAATATGGCAGATCTAAATACAGCTATAGCAACCGATACACCTATTTCTACTACTCACCTAGTGCAACAGTCATAAAAAAACAACGACCAAAAACTACTGCTACCAATTACGAATAAATGCGAATTTATCATTGACGAGGTTAAAATGAAACAATTATAAAAATAGATGATGGGTCTGACAGTTCGAGGACGTCGATGACGATAGCATTGACGACCAAGCGGCGAAAATTCTGTCTGCGACGAAAATCTACAACGTAGTGGGGGGGGGGTCATACCTGACACACACTACAGGGTGGATACGTTGCTGCAGAGAGAGAATAGCGCCGGCGAAGCCGTGAGCGACACGGTGGATAACGCCGCCGGCAACCCCGCCGGCGGCGGCGTAAGGTCGCCCTTGGCTTCGGCAGGGGCTGAACCAAACACAGGATCCGGGTCGGGTCCCGGATCGCTTGTTTCGCCCACAGGACAAGCCGCCGCTACTCTGGCTGCGCTCGAAAACCTGGCGCGATCACCGCCCGATTCCCTGGCCGAGGTGGAAGTCGAAATCCCGCCCGGCTGCATTCGCCTGCTACAGCAGCAGCAGCAGCAGCAACAATCACAGTTGCTACAACAGCAGCAGCTATCGTCATCGTCGAAACAGTCATCGACTCGCGCATCGTTGCAGCCGCCGTCATCGCGACACTCGTTCGCCGAGGCATCATCCGATTGCCTTGGCCGAGGTAGTGGGGCAAGTGGCGGGGGCGTCGCAGCGATGCTGACGATGGCGCTCTTGCCGACTGAGGCTGCTGGCGCCAACCGCAGCGCGTCGGTGCCCAACATCCCGGCGACGGCGGTCACCCGGCCGTCGGGCGAGGTAGAGGGCTGCCGCGTCGTCGAGGTGCTCTCGGTGCCCGGTCTGCCGCTCGACCAACGGCGCGCCTCAACGAAGTCGACGTCACAATCGCAATCGTTCAAGCCTTTTGGCAGTGCTGCGGCGCAGGCCGTCCAAGTTGTCGTCAATGCTGGCCGTCGGCTATCGGCGATGTCCGGCTCGAGGCGCACCTCAGACGTGTCCTCGGGCCGGTCTGCTGGGCCGCTACCTGTACAGAGAGAGCTACTGCACTGTGCTTTGCAGAGGCTTCCGATGCGGGACTTCGGCGCGGAAGTGCGGGCCACCATGGACGTCGACCAGTTCCTCATCCAGGCCGTATTACTACTCGACGTACAAGAGACATCACTGGAAGGGATCGTCGACAGGATGCTGCACAAGGTGAGTACGATAAAATGTTTATTCTCCTTGTTATGCGTGTTTTTTTTGTTCTTGCATCATTTTGATGTCTGACTTCTTCTACGTACAACAAAACCTTTACTACTGGTTTACAAATATATATATATATATATATATATATATATATATATATATATATATATATATCCCCAATATTTTTCTATTTCGCTTGTAGAATTAAGGCTTTTTCAGCTAAATAGTTTTTCAAAAGGTGTCGTCAGATAAAAATTTCCCTTAAGTACAGAATCGCTTAAACAATATCCCCCTGTTCTCCTGCTGCATATCGATACTACTACCGAAATGAAAAGTTTCGTTAAAGCAATCGTTGCTTTACGGAAGCTGTATTTTATTTGTCAAAACGAAAAAACTAGTTTCAGGAGTATCAAACTTGTTCATATCATACTTAGGTTGTTGTGCTGGAACTATGTAAGTATATGAAAATTCAGGAGGCAATTTTAATCCTTTTAGTGGCATTTTTCTCGTACTGATATCATGTATAGCTATGCTTCTTGCACGAAGGGGGAAAAAACTGCCCTTTTAACATGTATTTTCAAATTCTAGAATATTATTCACTAATTTTATTAAAGAGCACTTTGAATATTGGGAAATACTTCCTAGCCCGTTTGCCTTTTAGAGAGACGCATATATCGAATCATATAACATGACAGTAAAATTGATACAAATACAATACTAATATAAATAAGATTTTACTCTAATAGTACCTCATAATCTGAATACGTTCCTTATATTATACTTTTTCAATATTCATATAAGGGATATTTTACACTTTATCCAGCTAATATCCTATATTGCAACACTCAGGAATAACCGGATTTATATGCGGCCAAATATTGTAATTGGCTCATAGTAAAATCAATGTCTTATTTTTCATATCGCGCCGCCGTTGGGGGCTATTGGAGCTAAAATATCAGTCGAAGAAGGTGAATGAGGGGCCGGACACACGTTTGGGGGACAAACAGCCTATTGGATAACTTAACCTTGAGTGACTACTTTATTCCGACCTGAACACTCGGGCATGTAGCCTGAGTTCAGTTCCGTATTCCTGTAAATAGTTTATCGCTCGCCTATATCTGTTTCTTATCTTAATCATCTATAGTTCGTGACAGACGCTAGTACTGTCTTCAAATCTACCCTTTTCGTCTCCCCTCTCCAGCTCTCATTTGCCCCTTGCAACTTTTTTATTAAGCCTTTCTCCTACCTTATACCGTTAGCGTATTCTGCTAGATGTTCAAGATGTGTTACTGTTGTGTTTTTCTGGCTGACGTGGCAGGGGCAGCTGGGATACTTGCTTGCATGGTGCCACTGTACCTTACATCTGCTCTCATTGTGGTTTCAATACAATATACTTTCCCACTTAAATTATTCATGTTCTTGGAGCAACGGCGTCGGCCTGGCCTGAATTTGCCTGCGCTTCCGCTGAAGCTTCTACCTGAACCTGCACCCAGCCATCGCACTTTGCGTGCAACTTTGTAAGAGGTTCGCCACCCTAGCACATAGCGTTGTTAATAGGGTTACCTCTGTGCAGACAGTCCAACCTCAGGGCATTGCGGCAGGAAACAAAGCGATTCGTGTGTGGGAACGAAACACAAAAGAAGCGAAAAGTACGAGGAAAGGGAAAAAAGCGCCGAGTTGACGAACGAGCTAAATAAAAAGGTGTTTTGAAAATTTGAGGCAACAGATTGTAATGACGTAGGCATATTTCACATAGGGTGGCAGTTAACTGAAACTGAGGATAGTAGTACCTTATTAGTTTCCCCTGGGCAGCACCAGTCATGTGAAGCGGTCAGTTTCTGGTGTTTCATTCTTTCGACGATTTATGTGGCGATTTTTGCTGCATCAGTTGATAAGGCGCATTCCCCTTACTGTTTCTTATCGGTCAACCATGACAAGAACTCTATCAATAGGATCCATAAAGGAAATTATCAGTAACCTTGTTCTATCGTCCTTCTTAACTCTAATTATTGTACTTAATACGTTTTAGAGACCTACTCAAATTGTACACTAGAAGTAGTCTTAGAGATGCATCCTGCTTCAAGTGTTTTCGCTTCTTTCCCCAATCCCCATGTTTATCCTTTTTCCTACATCAACGCCTTGTGTAACAACGCTGTGAGCGGCGACAAACCGAACCCATATAGCTCAGTATTTTTAACAACAGCCAGCTACTTCTGCTGCTGGTCCTGCTGTAGTGAACAGAACCCAGGTCCCCCTGTCGACCAAGACGTTTGTTGTCAGACCAAAGATCCGTCTCCTTTCTTTTTGCTTTTTCACAAAAAGCTAACGCCCGACGAACGCCTTTCCTTTTGGCCACAGTAAATATTTGCCCAGCCAGCTGGGCGGCCATGCAGCCACCGTTTGGTAGGTCTTCGGCTACTAGCCAGTGGCGTTGATCGGCCTACCTTTTCGCACTTAAGCCCCACAATCATTCGCATGTTGAAACGAAGAACCTGCCTCTGAGTTCTTTCTCTTTTTTGTTTTGGCAAGCATTTTCTCGTTAAAGGATTTGTTAGAAACGAGGCAAGCCAAGTCGAGCTTCTCTGTCGATGCTGGCGGTGTCCAAAAAAAGACTCCAACTGTGTTCCTAAGGTTAACGATGGACGTTCCACTCTATTGAAGTCGTTCGTCCATCGGACACGGCCGTTGACGCCTCCACTACTGTTTCTTTCTATTGGTCCAAGACCACGATCGTAGCCACACTGTCGTTCCATGAGGACGGCAGGCTAGTTTCAGCAGCCTTTACACACTGAGTGACAGAAAGAGGCACCTGATCTCAGCGTTACAGCCGTCTTCCGCTAATATTTTCCTATAAGTACTTTCATTTTCTTTGTTTCTTTTTCGTGTCTTTGCTCTACCACATTTTTTATTTAAACCGGGTCGATCGCCCAAGTGGCTTTCTAATAACACTCTGGCTCTCAATTCGCTGTTCCGGCCCTAGTGGTCGTCGTTTGTCCTTCAAAAAAAGACTATATGCTATTTAGAGAGACTAACGCGTATGAGAGGCATGCTCAGACATATCGGCAGGAACACACATGGAGACCCGTAGCAACGATCACTCATCAGAATGTTTTCTGCTGGTAATTGTACACAAAAAGTAATCGTCTCTGAAGTGAGTGGGTTGGGCCAAGTTTACATTGGGCTGAGAGCAGAAACTGATTGTAGGACCTTTGCACACAGATTGCTAGATGAGCAGGCCCCGTTGAAAACAAGGTTGGATTTAATGTATTGCAATAAGGGTGCAGCAGGTCTCGTAGGGATTAACTTTTGTCTACATACACCTTGGTGACCTTGGCGGTAACCTACCTGCATACGAAGTTGCCTGTGGACTAGCTGTACAAGTGATTTTTTAAAAAACAAATTGCCAGAAAAGCCGCGGCGCATTCAGTTGGTAGTCGCATCTGATGATATGCCACAGCGGAAGGCAATACCCAACAATAGACAGCCCACTTGCCTATCATCCGTTGGCGACGACCAGCTTTATGGGATACTTTACTTTTAGAACTCATTTGACAGTTTGGGTTGTCCACGGCTGCTGGCAACTAGACTCCGCTTGTGAATGATCGACTGATAGCTTACGCCGATTGTAAGGAGCCAAAGGTTTTCCGAAACACTGCTTCTAATTACCGATCTAACATTGGTTTTAACAATTAAACATTAATATTGATTATGTCGTTCCCTTGTCGTTAACGCATTTAACGCAGCAACAAGTGTTAGCTATATGGAAATGTGGATAGACCCAGACCGAGTGGAACAATAGAATTCGCTAGCATTTGTTTCAGTTATAAAAACCCTATTAGGCGTTTGAGACGTCGCTGTTATAAACCATTGACAAACCACAGATGTTCCTTGTGGCCGCCCCGAGCACCGGCTGCTCATTCTACATAGTCACTGTACCTATCTACATTACTGCAATTAAACTGTCGCACATAAGTGCCTGTATCGCTGCTGAATTCGGTGAGGTACATCTACGACACCAATAGTAAGTCGGTGACATTTGCTAGTTTGGGGGACATCGACTAATGGCGATTCACTGAAGTTTGATCTACGCCGGTAGCACGAATTCATTGAATATAATGTATGAGAGAAGAGACTCTCAGCGGTCCGGAAGGGAGTAATCTAAAACATCAGCGTCAATGAGCTTTGATCGAGCGCGCAAACCTCTAGGCGGTTGACGTCTCTCCTCAGTAAAAAAAATCGGGTCCTCGAATAACAACTACACAACGATGTCAGTGACTGTTCTCCAACGGACTGGTCACCCGAGAGGTGACCGAGACCTACTCTGGTGGGCATGAATATAATTTCCGAGTTTGAAGACCTTTCGAAAAAACAATGCTTTGTAGACGCGGGCATAGTATAACCGATAATAGTACCGATCACCACTTCTACCGGTTTGCTTCAGGTCGCATCTTAGCCTTATTAAACAGCTCATGCCTCCTTTCAGCGAGAACATGCGCTCTGCTAAGAATTTGTTTGTTCAGGTTGATAGTAATGCAGAAACGTCGTAGGTCGATTTGGCATCAACTAGATTTTCCCATTTGTGTAAAATTAATGCGGATTTCCGGCGATGCTGAGCACGTACGGCCACATTAACAAACCGGATGTAAACAGCCTTTCTCTGCTAAGTGCGGTAGTGCTACAGCGAACAAGGCGTGTAAAGGCTTCTTATATTATGCACTATTCCCCCAATGGTTGAATACGGGCGCCCGACCACCGTGTCTACTAAAAAGTTTGATAGACCAAGCGGTCACTAAGCTCAAGGCAGTGGTCGAATGGAATTGCAAATGCGGTGACTTAAAAAAAATGCAGTCAAAAGCCAGCGAACTTCAGACAGCTAAAAAGCTATCTTAAGTTTGCTGGTTCTATTAGCAAGTTTAGCTAATATGACATAAATAGATAGCCAAAGTATGGGCTGTAGCTGTTAATCTTCAGAAAAGCATCATCTGTCCAGATCTTTGATCCCGAGTTGG